TGCTAGGGGTCTTGCGTAATGCACCCAACAAGCCGGGTGGCAGCAACCATGTTGAAGGAAAGCTCAAAAGTCCAGCTGTCGGTGTACTGGTCAGCCTTTTGTAATGCTTTGAATGCAAGTATTGAATTTTTATGCTCTGAACATGGATGATGGATTTTTGTCTTGAACACAACAAATTTTTGACAATTTACTTCAGTATTATGCATAATGTTAAAATTTATAACTATATTTAGAATAAATTGGAGTGTGTCATATATAATTTATGCTGCTCCATCCATCTCTCCAGTTACAGTGTGCATAAATTAAGAATTTATTCTCATAAATACATACGGCAACAATAAATACTCCAGAGACTGCTTATTTAATCATGAACACATACAAAAAAACCTGCAGAATCAAATGACATTATATAACTTTAGAGAATTACTCAACATCTTTTCCTTTCAGAAACATTGACAACGCCAACAGATGAACCAACAAGACGAAGACTCTGAATAATTCTAATGTTAAAATCAAATATGTATAAAACATCTTCACGGAATTATGTCTTGAATTTTGTGCTGTTGAATTTTTAAATGACTGTTGATGTCTTGCCAGTAGATAATGGGGTATCACATCAATGTACCGGTGGGAGGAAAGTACAAAGTGATGCAGGTGACATACAGAAACCAAGGACTGTTATAAATCACAATCAGGGCAATCTGGGATTTGAACCCTTGCTCATGGCATAATGCCATGCCTGTGCACCACATCTGCTGGTTTACAGGGAAGGACCACTGTTAACATGACTAAGGGTCACAGTTAGTTTGTGTTCTGCATTTAAACATTGGCAGCCAGTATTTAGCAATGGGCTGGTTTAATCAAATGTCTTTATATGGGTGTAAATTGTTCGTTGTTAACCTGTTATAATTGTGTTTATAAAATATTTATAACTAGATGGTAATAATGTTTTCAAACCATTTTAGGATCAACATTTCAAAACATTATAACATTGATCATATTCCTTTTAAGATGCTTTCAAAACAGCATAACAAAATGTTTCTTAAACATTTCTTGAACCATACAACTTCACGTGAATAAAACATTTTAAGAAACATTTCCAAAATGTTTTGCAAAAACATTTTATGAACGTTGAAATCAAATGTTTAAAAAAATGTTGCTAAAACATTTCTGGAACCATACATAATCACGTGAATAAAACATTATTTAAAAACATTTCTGGAATATTTTACAACAAGTTTAGAAACACTATAATCAAATGTTTCCGGAAAATGTTTCGTAAACGTTTTTGGAACCATACAAATTCACGTTATTAAAACATTTTTTAAAACATTTCCAGAACATTCCGTGAAATGTTTTAGGGATGTTTTTATAACATTTTCGTGTACGCTGGGTTGTTGTCCCAAACGGAACTGTTGAATTTCAGCATGAACCCTGTTAATCATACAGTTGCCATTAGCTATAATTTTAATATTCCACTTTCTAAAGTTGTTGGTTGGTTGGTCGGTCTGTTGTTTAACGCCGCACTCAGCAATATACCAGCTATATGACGGTGGTCTGTAAATAATCGAGTCTGGACCAGACAATCCATTGATTAATATCATGAGCATCGATCCACGCAATTGGGATCGATGACATGCATCAACCAAGTCACCCGATCCCGTCAGTAGCCTCTTACGAGAAGCATAGTCGCTAAAAACCAACTTAGTGTATTTCATAACTATAAAAGTAAAATAAAAACTGGTTAAGAATCTGTACTTATATCAAATATGTTGCCTGAACAGATGAGGCAAAAAGCATACCCTTTGACTTAATCTGGCCAGTCTTTTCTTTGCGTTGGCCCTGTTCCCTTTAATGGTGGGGACTGGATTGTTCTGTACCAGAAGAAGAACAGATATATTCATCAAAAATACTTGGGCTTCTGCCCCTCTTCCAGCAAATCCGGGGTAGAATAGGTCTTCAGCAACCCATGCATGCCGTAAAAGGTGACTATGCTTGCCGTAAGAGGAGACTAACGGGATCGGGTGGTCAGACTCTCTGACTTGGTTGATACATGTCATCGATCCCAATGGCGTGGACCGATATCAATCACTGGATTGTCTGGATTGTCTGGATTGTCTGTAGCTGGAATATTGCTGAGTGCGACGCTAAACAACAAACAAACCAAACCAAGATACAATAAAAATATATATTGACAATGGAGGTAGGACACGACTTCATATTTACTATAAACAGGATTTAATATATTTAGAAATGTATAACAGTTGTGTTTTATAACTTAATTATAGCAGGCTAAATAGTTTTAATTCAAATGGCCTTTCCCATCAATATGTATGTATATATTTTACTGTTATCTTTAAATTTGGGACATATTAATAGAAAATGATATGTACGTTAACACTTCCAGCTTGACAATAATCACAGTATCTTTGATAATCTCGTTATAGCGTCCAACTTCTTTTCAAATTTGTGACTCGATATTCTAATCATTGTTAAATATTTACTTAGACCCCGTGGTAAAATATTGAGATATAATTCATAACCAAAAGATACTTTTAGATTTCTGTACAACATCAACTTTCTACTATTATTGAGATCTGAGTTCCATTTTTGTATATAATTATCAATAAGCCTTCGTTTAAACAAAGAGACAAACATATGATTTACAAACAAGGAATTTAACCACACATATGTAAAACCATTTGTCCACAACATATATTTTACATACCAATGCCCAATTTTTCACACCTTTATCACACTGCTACAAACAAATATTATATGCAACCTGTAATATACAATTTCAAGTATTATTTAATTTAAACCAGTACTTGAGGTGTCTGTCAAGAAGTAACAATGATAGATATTCCCCTGTACATTTCTAATAGGTATCTGGCTCCTCCGTACTCGTCGCTATATGGCTGAGACTATTACACACTCACTATTACACCCCTTGAATATTGGACAGAAGGATTCTTTTAATTGTTTTGTTTAAATAGGTGCAATATACATGTAATGTTTTGTTGATTTCATAAACTCACATACAATTCCGTTTAATAGTGAATGACAGATGTAAAACAAATAACAAGAAACCAATATCACAGTTATGCGTGTCTGACATTTGCGTTTAAAACGCCACAAGGAGTATCCAGAACTTCCCCTACTTTATCATTCCTATGTGTCTTGTAAACGTCGAAAGCCCTAACAGCTCTTAAGGTGTAAAATTGGTGCAAATTGACCATATAGAAGCGTGCTGCTTCATGTGTTTAAGCACATTCTGTAAGGTAGATCAATCATTTTTTCAACTTAATTTAAGCCCATGGGCTTAAAACGGTTTTTTCCGCTTTTAAGCCCATGGGCTCAATAACGAGAGGGCGCAGTCCTGGGAGTACAAAACACCCGAGATCGAGAGTGAGTTTGGTCTCTTTGAACAGCATGTCAAGACTTGTTGTGGCAGGATCGCTTGATGTGATTCTCTGGTGAAACTCACGAGCAGGTTTCTTGCACGCCTAAGGGATGTAATCATGCACAGAGACGTGCGGCACCTCAGACACTTGCTGCCCCCGTCACCCCTACAGTGTGGGCTCGTGAAGATTCCGGGGTAGAATAGGTCTTCAGCAACCCATGCTTGCCGTAAAAGGCGACTATGCTTGTCGTAAAAGGCGACTAACGGGATCGGGTGGTCAGGCTCGCTGACTTGATTGATGCATGTCATCGGTCCCAATTGCGTGGATCGATGCTCATGATGTCAATCACTGGATTGTCTGGTCCAGACTCGATTATTTACAGACCGCCGTCATATAGCTGGAATATTGCTGAGTGCGGCGTTAAACAACAAACCAACCAACCAACCAACCAACCTACAGTGTGTGTTATGTCCTAGATCACACCCAGGACAAGTACAAACAGAATCTAACTGTCAAACCGTCGTTACTATGGTAACCAACTTCCAGGGCGGTTGGTAATAAGTGAGTGAGTGAGTTGGGTTTAACGCCGCTTTTAACAGTATTCCAGTTATATCATGGCGTGTCAGCTTAATGTGGGAGGAAAGCCCGAAGTGATGCAAGTCTCAGCGTTTACCACTTCGGTGAAACCCACGAGCACGGGTATGGTGCTGACAAACCTAGAAACATAATCGGGGCGAACCGGGATTCGAACCCACAATCATAGGTTTCTGTCGTGCCCAAGGGACGCAACTCTGTACAGCGAATCGCGGCGCCTTAGACGACTGGGCCACCCGTGTCCCCTGTTAATAAGTATAGTGTTAATAAAACCTTCGAGTCGCTTTTAGGAATTATAAATTCGGGCTAAGACCTTCTACGTCCATTGGGGATCGATGACATGCATCAACCACGTCAGCGACCCTGATCACCCGATCCAGTTAGTTGCTCTTGCGACAAGCATAGTCTCCTTTTACATCAAGCATGGGTTGCTGAAGACCTATTCTACCCCGGATCTTCACGGGTCTATTGACATCCCAGAGGTTACCAGACATTTCACCATAACTTGTTCGCTCTTACAACAAGCATGGGTTGCTGAAGACCTATTCTACCCTGGATCTTCACGGGCCTATTGACATCACTGAGGTTACCAGACATTTCACTATAACTTGTTCGCTCTTACAACAAGCATAGGTTGCAGATGACCTTTTCTAACCCGGATTTCATGGGTCCTTATACATACCAACATACCAACACACACGCACACGAAACCTCACCCGGTCGTTCTGTTGTTCTTCCCCTCTCACCGTCTCACCAGAAAAACATCCATCCCATCCACCTTTCAAGCGGTGGCCTGACCTACTCTCGCCCCACTGCCCTAAAGAGGGCGTGGTTTCGGGAGAACACGTGGCCCGTCAGCCCTTTACTCCAGCTATTGGTGTCACCCCTGACCCCTGGGGACTGGACAAAAACAAGCCCCGTGTAAAGACATTTATGGGGTGGCTGTACAAGTATTCATAAGGCCCGTTGTAGAACAGCTCCGCCAGTTTGTAGGAGTGTCGTCCAACAGTCGGTTGACTTGAGTATAAGATGAAGTCATTCACCTTTTTCGCCGCGCTTCTTACCGTCTGCTTTCTGATCATCCATGAATGCGACGCGGGGCAACGGAAGACATCAAAAGCCAGAGCCATGTGGAGAAAGACTTTTTTCATACTAGGGGTGAAGAAAGCCGCATCTGCTTTATGTCGTAATATATTGTCTGTGGAGACATCTTGCAGGTCTTGTAACTGTCAGGCGCCGGTTAATTATAGTTGTCGAAAATTGTGCGCCATCAGAGAAGAAATCAGAAAGTGTGCCACAGAGTTGTTGTGTCCACCAACAACGACGGAATCGACCGCGGCGTCCACAGCGACCACGGCTGCTACGGCAACGTCGACAACAACGGCATCAACTTCAGCAACAACGGAATCATCGTCGACAACAACGGCATCAACTTCAGCAACAACGGAATCATCGTCGACAACAACGGCATCAACTTCAGCAACAACGGAATCATCGTCGACAACAACGGCATCAACTTCAGTAACAACGGAGTCAACGTCGACAACAACGGCATCAACTTCAGCAACAACGGAATCAACGTCGACAACAATGATATCAGCGGAAACGACAACAGAAATGAGTAAGTTAAATAGCGATGCATGACAGGTAATAATAGCCTGTTTGTTTCTCTAACGACAAATGCCTAAACGTTGACCCATTTCCGTGTAGACCCGTGAAGATCCGGGGTAGAATAGGTCTTCAGCAACCTATGTTTGTCATAAGAGGCGACTAACGTGATCGGGTTGTCAGGCTCGTTGACTTGGTTGATGCATGTCATTGATCCCAATTGCGTGGATCGATGCTCATAATGTAAATCAGTGGATTGTCTGGTCCAGAGTTGATTACTTACAGACCGCCGTCATATAGCTGGAATATTGCTGAGTGCGGCGTTAAACAACAAAGAAACAAACAAAGCATCCATATCATTCTTCGCGCGATGTATATCCTAGTAAGATAAACTTAAGCCTATTTAATTTTCCCAGTCGTTAAAATGCAAATATCCCCGGATACTTGTCCATTTCAAATGATGTACATGCGTTTGCGTTGCTGTCAAATATACACTACATGTATTGTCGTTTGACTCATCACTAATGGATATCGCTGAAACGTGTGGTTGATGCATGTCATCGATCCCAATTGTGTTGATCGATGCTCATGATGTCTAGCACTGGATTGTCTGGTCCAGACTCGATTATTTACATACCGCCGTCATATAGCTGGAATATTGCTTAGTGCGGCGTGAACAGCAAACCAACCAACCAACTTAAACGTGTCATTAAGCTTTTTTTTATCATGTCGGTTTTTGTTCTAGTTTTAACAAGCAATGCATGATTAAGACGTGACTGAGAGCAAATACCATTTATATACAAGGAGCCCACAGAATGTCCATCTCATCAGGCGATGACATAGAAGAATTTCTATGTGTTGCATGTGTTTCAGCATGTGGAGGATTCTGTGTTGGGGGATTCTGTCCATTCCCAGCAGTGGGCACCTGCTCCGGGGACCTTACCTGCTGCAGCGTGGTCTGGTGAGCTAACAAGATGACTTTTTAGCTTTCAAAGTACAATATTCATGCGCGAAAATGTGTGTGTGTGCGTGTGCGCTTGTACTAGTCCGGACTGATGCCGATTTATAGTGCTAGCACACTGAGATACCATGCCGCAGTTTAACATAAATACCCCACTCAGACACAGTATACTGACTCCGAGTCGACCAGTCCTTGTTTTAGCCCCTTAATGCCGAGCGCCAGACAGGGTAACAACAAGTACCATCTTTTAACGTATCTCTTGGTATGACGCGGCCGGGGATCGAACCCCAGACCTACCGCTCTCCGGACGCTCTACCATTAGACCACGGCGGCGGTCCTGTGCGAACATAGAACCAGTTTTTCTATGTTTCATGGGAACGTTACGCCTGTACTGGAAGTCCTCAAACAATATTGCATTACCTGCTTCATGTTTTCCTTTTTTCTGCATCAAATCTTCCATAGATTATTTGTCATTCAAGAGAATTTCACATCACGACAGGGGCGGTCGGGTAGCCCAGTGGTTAAAGCGTTCGCTCGTCACGCCGAAGACCCGGTTTCGATTCCCGCCTTGGGTCAAGATCCGTGTTAGAATAGGTCTTCAGCAACCCATGCTTGCCGTAAAAGGCGACTAACGGGATCGGGTGGTCAGGCTCGCTCACTTGGTTGATGCATGTCACCGATCCCAATTGCGAGGATCGATGTTCATGATGTAAATCACTGGATTGTCTGGTCCAGACTCGATTATTTACAGACCGCCGTCATATAGCTGCAATATTGCTGAGTGCGGCGTTAAACAACAAACCAACTAACAACCAGTCAATGTGTGAAACCCATTTCAGGTGTACCCCGCCGTGATATTGCTGGAATATTGCTAAAAGCGACGTAAAACCATACTCACTCACTCACTCACATCACGACCTCAACTCTACGACTGGTTCCCTACTTTTACAGAATCTTACGACAGACAGTCTACCACTTAGACCGATTTGTTGAACGATCATGTTGGTGTTTTAGTTCATTGTTAAACATATGCATTCTTCAGAGTAGACGGGACGAGATTGAAAGGCACGCCGAGAGGCAGAGGACATTGCATGACGAGGTGGATGGATGGAGGATTGGACGAGGAAGATGGATCAAGGGTAGAACAGGCCGCTGTGAAGATGAAGGACAGATGACAATGTGATGCCATGACATTTAACGGTTGGACAAGTTTCGTCATTAAGGACAGCAATGACATTGCGCCTTTCAAAACGTTGACTAGAACTTGTGACCACAGAATCTGTTCAGCTGACACGCCATCTTTCCGGGGAAAGAGAGTTAACTGACTTTACAAGTCCAGTTTCCACCCTTGCCGAACTAGGCTGGAATTACTTGGCTCGATCGTAGCGCCACCAGTGGCTACTACAAGTTATGTCCCTTCTAAGCCTCTCCTATGGACCAATCAGATTCCACCTCTCGTATTACTTGCGTTTGCTATACACAAAATGGTGGCACCGAGACGATCTGATCGATAATCAATATCTATATTGTGATAAAACGGGTCTTACGTCGCGAAATGCATCAAATCACGTGAGTACCTTGATTAAAACTATGAAAAGATTTGGAAAATATCTGCTCACAACAAGTTGGCGGTGCACATGCTTTGCAAATCCTGCAATCGACCGAAATCTGCTCGACAGTTTACGAACCGGATTTCGATTTCGGTGCGCGATTTTGATTGGACTATGCATACACTCGTTAGTCCAGCCAAAATGTAACTCCATAATACCAGCCTAGTTCGGCAAGGGTGGAAACTGGACTTTTATAGTCAGTTAACTCTCTTGCCTTGGGAAGATGCTGACACGCATGGTTGACTTGAAGGCGACTCGTGGAGTAAAGACGCCGTATATTCTGCGGGTTCTAGTCCTGGATAAACGTTTATTACGTGTTTATTGCACGGCGCCAGGTGTTTTATTTGGTTTCGGTTTGAGAAAACTACATGGGTATGAGTACTAGTTGAAAAGATGTAAAGAATCTTTATCTTTGTTTCACATGTGTATAATGATATGCGTACATACGAAATACATTAAGTAATTATGACACTTTTATTAAAATATTCCTAACTGTAAATTATTACACTAAACATGTTTGTGTTATTCGGGCACAACCACAAGAGGGAGTCACGCTCTGTCCAAGACTTGTTTACCTGCCCTTAGCGCTTGCGCTCCTCTCCTGCAGCTACTAGGGGGCGAAGGGCAGGATCCCAGTCTGGCTCTATCCGACCTATTTCCCCATACAGCATTTCGCTGCGGTAGACGTTGACCCATTTCCGTGAAGCGGTTCTGCCAGTCGAGAGGGCCAGGGACAGGCTTACAACATATCGCTGACGTGGTTGGTGCATGTCCTCGTATCCCAATTGCGTGGATCGATTCTCATGATGTCAATAGCTGGATTGTCTGGTCAAGACTCTATTATTTGCAGACCGCCGTTATATAGCTGGAATATTACTTAGTGCGGCGTTAAACAACAAACAAACAAAATAATAATTTGTTTTTTGTTTCAAATAAGAACGAAATTGATATTTTCGTGTACACTTCCCCTTTAATAGAGTTGGAAGTTGTGGGCGATTGTTGATTGTTAGCTCACCGGGTCCGAGGGACCAAGGTGAACTTATGCCATACCATGGCGTCAGTCGTTCGTCCGTCGTCCGTACGTCAACAATGTGTTCAAACGACTTCTTCTTCTAAGCCACTCATTGGAAATAAACGAAATTTGACTAGAGGCATCCCTAGGTGGTGGGGATTCAAAATTGTACAAATGGAGGGGCTGACACCCCAAGGGGCTGAGGGGCGGGGCCAAATAGGGTAATTTGACTATTTTGCTTTTAACGACTTCTTCACTGGAACTAAGAGATAGGTATCGACCATATTTGGTTGGAAGCATTCTCCGGTGGTAAGTATTCAAAATTGCACAAATGGAGGGGCTGACCCCCCAAGGGTCTGAGGGGCGGGGCCAAATAGGAGTAATTTGGCGATATTGGTTTCAACGACTTTTTCTCTGTAACTAAGAGATGGATATCAACCATAGTTGATTGGAAGTATTCTCAGGTGAGGAAAATTCCCAATTGTACAAATGGAGGGGCTGACCCCCAACCCGCTCTCCATCCCAGCGGCTGGGGGGCGGGGTCAAAAAGAGCTTATAACTTGGACACAGTTAAGATCCCCACCCTATAACCATATGTACAATTGAGAGTATAATAAGAGGAATGCACATATGCTACCAGGACCATCTTCCCGAGGCAAGAGAGTTAACTGACTTTAAAAGTCATGTTTCCACCCTTGCCGAACTAGGCTGGAATTCCTGGGCTCGATCGTAGCGCCACCAGTGGCTATTACGAGTTATGTCCTTTCTATGCCTCTCCTGTTGACCAATAAGATTCAACCTCTCGTATCACTTGCATTTGTTTCAAACAAAACGGTGGCGCCCAGTCAAGACGATCTGATCGATAATCAAGATCTATATTGTGATAAAACGAGTCTTACATCGCGAAGTGCATCAAATCACGTGAGCACCTTGATTAAAACCATGAAAAGATTTAGAAAATATCTGTTGACAACGAGTTAGCGGTGCACATGCTTTACAAATCCTGCAATCGACCGAAATCTGCATGGCACTCTACGAACCGGATTTCGATTTCGGTGCGCGATTTTGATTGGACTATGCATAGACTCGTTAGCCCAGCCAAAATCTAACTCCATAATGCCAGCCTAGTTCGGCAAGGGTGGAAACTGGACTTTTATAGTCAGTTAACTCACTTGCCTCGGGAAGATGACCAGGACTGGCCCTTCTGTTCATCAGTCAGGCACTCCCGATGGAGTTAGACTCTTGACCATAACTTCCAAACCGATATCATCCCCGACCTATAATAAACAGATACATTGTATACATGTTTTTTTTATGAAGAGAATAATAAATTTATGCCAACAGGATTCGCCCTGGGGTCCAGCCTTGCCTCTTGAAACTTAAACCCTGGATCATAACATGGAAACGGTTGAGATCTTTATGCTACATTTGTATCTAGAGAAATACACGTTCATGCTGTCAGATTTGCCATCCACCCCTTTTAAATGCTATCAGAGTCAAAATTACGAATATTTGCAGTATTGTATACATGTACAATGCAAATGTATATTTTGTCATGATTGCGTAAATATCCAGGTAAGCGATACAGACCCTATGGACCTCTTGTTATAAACAGGGGACAAGGGTGGCCCAGTCGTCTAAGGCGCCGCGATTAGCTGTGCAGAGTTGCGTCCCTTCGACACGCCAGAAACATATGAATGTGGGTTCGAATCCCGGTTTGCCCCGATTATGTTTCTAGGTTTGTCAACACCATACCCGTGCTCGTGGGTTTCACCGAAGTGGTAAACGTCTGAGACCTGCGTCACTTCGGGCTTTCCTCCCACATTAAGCTGACACGCCGCGATATAACTGGAATAGTGTTAAAATCGGCGTTAAACCCAACTCACTCACTCACTCACTTGTTATAAACACGCGTCACGTCCCAGGGGTACACACTGGCTTGGATGAACAGGAATGAGTTAAAGTTCATTTAAAGCAATCCCTCCAAACTTGAGAGTGTTGTCCAGACAGATATATACTAAGTCCATATAAGTAACAGCAGACCCGTGAAGATTCCGGGGTAGAATAGGTCTGCAGCAACCCATGCTTGCCGTAAAAGGTGACTATGCTTGTCGTAAAAGGCGACTAACGGGATCGGGTGGTCAGGTTCGCTGACTTGGTTGATACATGTCATCGATCCCGATTGCGTGGATCGATGCTCATGATATCAATCACTGGATTGTCTGGTCCAGACTCAATTATTTACAGACCGCCGTCATATAGCTGGAATATTGCTGAGTGCGGCGTTAAACAACAAACCAACCAACCAACAAAGTAACAGCATAAAGGAATTAAACATTAGCAACGTTAAAAAACTGTTTTTAATCAGATTATACCAAGTCAAAGTAATCAAATGTTGAAGTCTTTGTTAAGAAAATGATAAACTCGAAACATATTTTATGACAATGAGCAGCAAGAACCTTATTGATAACGAATTCAGTGTCAGACTTCATAGGGAGGAAGTCACCTACGACCAGGACATAAAAACATCACTTCATTGAACCCCACCCCATATAGCACACCCACACTCATAAATACCTTGGTCAGCAATGCCTGCTCCAAGTTGCCAATAATACTGTGGAAACTATTAATAGCTTCTCGTGTCTGTTGGGCGGATGTTTTTGTCAATTGACAGGTTAAGCAGAAAATTTCTGATTAATATATCAGCTCACAGTCCCCATAATGTCGGCATTGAAATGTTTTGCGTCTATTGATGCTGACCCCAAAATGTCCGCCAGCCATTCCCGTGCACGTGTCATGTTAAACGTCGTCTTCATTGACCGTGATAGTATATGATTGATTCTGCTACGTTGCAAACGAGTTGTTTTTGTATTTTGAATTTTAGCCACGAGTCTCTAGATACTTGGATATTTGTTTTAAGTATTTACCTTGTACAGGACCCGTGGAGATTCCGGGGAAGAATAGGTTTTATGCAACCCATGCTTGCCTTTAAAGGCGATTATGCTTGTCGTAAGAGGCGACTAACGGGATCGGGTAGTAGGGCTCGCTGACTTGGTTGATGCATGTCATCGTATTCCAATTGCGTGAATCGATGTTTATGATATTAATCACTGGATTGTTTGGTCCAGACTCGATTCTTTTACAGACCGCCGTCATATAGCTGGAATATTGCTGAGTGCGGCGTTAAACATAAAACCAACCAACGAAATCATTGAATCGGGACCACATCGATTCAATTTTAGTCTTTTTATCGGTGTATGGTCCTCGTTGTACGATGTTGCCTGGCATTGTAAGTGCGTGAGGCTGCACGTCGCTTTGAACATTTATTTCACCCATAGTGTGTCAGTTCAATGTGGTAGGAAAGCTCAAATGTGGAAGAATAATATTCTATAATATAAACCGAGTCAAATCGTGAGAAGAGCATTCAAATCCAATCCTGCAGAACGTATAGTTAAATGTGTGTCAGGTATAGTCCATTCACGAAACATTTCACGTTCAAGAGAAGCTGACAAAACACGGGGGCTTGTCATCAAAGACGCATGGACTCCCAGCACTGGGTGGTCGGTGCCATAGTAACAGGAAGTACAATACACCAGGCTGGTGCCCATAGTTAACTGTCCTCCTCATTCACCCGTGGCATACAATCTGGCGCTCTGATGTCAGAGGTGAATGAGAAACTTCCTGTCTTAAAACGACCAAGGTCCGTTGGTTTTCGCACATTCGCCAACACGTACAAAACAACTTTGTATACAGCATTTTTGGGGTACGATGACTCGTAAAAACTTTTCATCTAGAAGAAATTCATTTGGTTGTGTTTCACACCCATCCTTTTACCTCACCTGAATGAAAGTCACGTGAGCTTAAGTCGCGGCCTGTTGGTTTTGTTTGTTGTTTAACGCCGCACTCAGCAATATTCTAGCTATATGACGGCGGTCTGTGAATAATCGAGTCTGGACCAGACAATCCAGTGATTGACATCATGAGCAGCGATCCACGCATTTCGGATACGATGACATGCATCAACCAAGTCAGCGAGCCTGACCACCCGATCCCGTTATAGTCGCCTCTTACAGCAAGCATGGGTTGCTGAGGACCTATTCTACCCCGGATCTTCACGGGTCGAAGCAGGAAAGAGGACCCTGTGTGTATTGTGTCATATCTCCACCGTAGCTGTGGGACAGAATATGGATTTCGATATTTCATAGTTGTTTTCTCGAACGACTAGTCGATACCGACCCACATATTTAATGTGTAGCTTTAGGACCAAAAACATGTTACGTCCACAACAGATGTGGAGCCAGAGGCTGGCAGACTGATCTATCCTGCCTGCTGCCGAGACCCGGTGTGAGGAAAATGTGAAACGTATTAGACCCGGTGTGAGGGGAATGTGAAACGTATTAGACCCGGTGTGAGGGGAATGTGAAACGTATTAGACCCGGTGTGAGGGGAATGTGAAACGTATTAGACCCGGTGTGAGGAAAATGTGAAACGTATTAGACCCTGTGTGAGGGGAATGTGAAACGTATTAGACCCGGTGTGAGGGGAATGTGAAACGTATTAGACCCGGTGTGAGGGGAATGTGAAACGTATTAGACCCGGTGTGAGGGGAATGTGAAACGTATTAGACCCGGTGTGAGGGGAATGTGAAACGTATTAGACCCGGTGTGAGGAAAATGTGAAACGTATTAGACACTGTGTGAGGGGAATGTGAAACGTATTAGACCCGGTGTGAGGGGAATGTGAAACGTATTAGACCCGGTGTGAGGGGAATGTGAAACGTATTAGACCCGGTGTGAGGGGAATGTGAAAAGTATTAGACCCGGTGTGAGGGGAATGTGAAACGTATTACACCCTTAATGCTCAGGTGTGGTGTGGTGTGGTGAGGTGAGGTGAGGTGAGGGAGTTGGGTTTAACGCCGCTTTTAACACTATTCCAGTTATATCACGGCGTGTCAGCTTAATGTGGGAGTAAAGTCCGAAGTGATGCAGGTCTCAGACGTTTACAACTTCGGTGAAACCGAACCGGGATTCGAACCAACAATCAAAGGTGTCTTGCGTGCCCAAAGGACGCAACTCTGTACAGCGAATCCCGGCAGCTTAGACGACTGGGCCAGCCGTGCCCCCGTGTGGTGAGTGAGGTGAGGTGAGGTGAGATGTGGTGAGGTGTGGTGAGGTAGGTGTGGTGAATGAGGTGATGTGTGGTGAGTGAGGTGTGGTGTGGTGTGGTGTGGTGTGGTGAGGTGTGGTGAGGTGGTGTGGTTTGGTGAGAGGTGTGGTTTGGTGAGAGGTGAGGTGTGGTGAGTGAGTGAGGTGTGGTGTAGTGAGTGAGGTGAGGTGTTGTTTGATGAGTGTGGTGTGGTGAGGTGTAGTGAGTGAGGTGAGGTGTTTGGTGAGTGAGATGTGGTATGGTGAGGTGAGGTGTGGCGAGGTGAGATGTTGTTTGGTGAGTGAGGTGTGGTGTGTTGAGGTGGGGTGAGGTGTGCAGATTAATCTTTCCTGCCTGCTGCCGAGACCCGGTGTGAGGGAAATGTGAAACGTATTACACCATTAATAATCAGGTTGTGCTGAGGTGAGGTCATCCTCCCGATTTTTTCACCGACATTCCAACGTGCATGTACGTGTGTGTGCGTGCGCCATTGTCCGCTCATAGTCATCTCACAACGAGTTGTATGATAGATTGTATGTGAAAGGCACGAGTCACACCCTAAAATCGCAGTATTTTGGGCATCGAATAAATACATATTTTGTCTATGAAATCAGTGGCGCATTAATACATAACAAAACGGTCAAGAGTGACGTCATCCGCGTACTGCTTACTTCTCCTACCTAGTGTGACCCTCCGCAAAAGAGTGAGTTAGTGAGTTAGGTTTAACGCCGCTTTTAACAGTATTCCAGTTATATCACGACGTGTCAGCTTAAAGTGGGAGGAAAGTCCGAAGTGATGCAGGTCTCAGACGTTTACTACTTCGGTGAAACCCACAAGCACGGGTATGATGCTGACAAACCTAGAAACATAATCGGGGCGAACCGGGATTCAAACCCACAATCAAAGGTTTCTGGCGTGCCCAAGGGACGCAACTCTGCACAGCGAATCTCGGCGCCTTAGACGACTGGGCCACCCGTGCCCCCCTCCACAAAAGAGGTTTCAGCCATATATGTGGATAATCAAGGCGATGATGACAATGAAAACAAAATAACATCAAAGAACATGTATTGACACTCTAAAACCATAACATTCAACACAGACATAGGTGAATTCGACCAAAGAACAAAAAAACCCTTATCAGTGAATTACTATCAGGGGAGTAGTCCGTCATAATTTGACCTTAGGTCATCACCATGGAGTAGCCAATCACGGACGTGGAATTCGATCTCACACAATTGTTTTTGATACCATTTATGTCCAATGGGTTTCTCAGCCAAAGGCGTGTAAGAACTAGTCCTTGTTTTATCCCCTTAATGCAGAGCGTCATGCAGGGTACACCTTGTAACGTCTCTTGGTATGACGCAGCCCGGGATCCAATCACTGACCTTCCGCTGACCTTTCCCTGTCCGGGCAGAGGTTTTAACCAATAAACCAATAATCAAATATGGGTCAGTCAGCTTCACCTCTGATTGCGCCAGGGGCTGTCGGGTAGCCTAGTGGTTAAAGCGTTCGCTCGTCACGCCGAAAACTCGGGTTCGAATCCCGACATGACATGGGTACAATGTGTGAAGCCCATTTCTGGTGTCCCCCGCCGTGATATTGCTGGAATATTGTTAAAAGCGGCGTAAAACCAAACTCACTCACTCACTCTGATTGCGCCATGTGTTGGGGGCACTCTTGCATGTGTCTTTGTACAGCTCCACTAGGAAATCGTTAACATTGCACAGTGGGGGCCTATCACTGGGACTGCCTGCTACACACTGTTGCGAAATCCTGTAGAAATGCTTATTGTTGACGTAATCTGTGATGTGGGCCAATATCATGCCAAGAGAGAAAACATCGCTTGCGGGGGTAGTGATGCCAACGTGCGCTTCTGGGGATGGAAACGGATTTTTAGATCCTTGCGTAAAGTTCTCCATGAAGGAATTCCCTTGGCGAAAGGAGGCGTCTGCGAAGTCTATAACGTACACCTTCAGCATGGCCCCTTGCCGCGACACAATGATGTTCCTGTCATGAAGGTCATTGAACAACACGAAACGTTTGTGCATTTCTAACAACGCAGTACTTAATTGCTGCGAGAAGTTTAACCAGTCACACTGAGACAGAGCTCCTTGGAGCAGAAGGTCGTGTACAGTTGTGCTGTTGGGGATAAATTCCATGACGATTGCTAAGTCAGATATCAGAGGACCCACTGGCAGTAAACCACGGAAGAGTGGGACGTGGGGAATATCTTCCAGGTAGATCATCATGGTTGCTTCGTTCATAAGCTCTTCAAGGTTTTCTTCCAGGAGCATCTTCACGACAACGTCCTCATCCGTGGGGAGGAATCGCCCCAGGTACAGCCGGGCTTGTCCTCCAGCGCCCACCATCAGATCCTCGAACACGTCGACGGTGTCAAAGTTCAGTAAAACCGGAAGAAAACGATGGAGGTCACTTGGGATGCCGTCATCGCAGAAACCAAAGTTTAGGACGGAGGGCGGTACAGTTCTTTTAGGACAGACCGTTGTATTATAATGGAAGGCAGAGCCTGAAAATTGAGTAGAGAGGACTGTTAGTCTGTATGGGATTCAGTCGGCGGAATGACTGGAGTCGGCTGAAGGACGGTACGAAAGCCCATTAGGACCATATTGGTATTTTGTTTTTTCTCTTTTAAAAGTCGTTATTACGAGAAAAAAGTCGTTATTACGAGTTTTGAAAAGTCGTAATTACGACTTTTTTCTCTGGTAATTACGACTTTTTCTCTCTCGTAATTACGACTTTATTCTCGTATTAACAACTTTCAAAAGAGAAAAAACAAAATACCAATATGGTCCTAATGGGGTTTCGTAGGACGGACACGGAGGAACAGTGGGCTGGGATATTGATATAACATCAGAATATGAATATGTTATATTATATCAGAGTATTTAGTAAGATCATACCATTAGTATTATTGGATAGGTATGCACACGGTAACATCATTATTGAATTTGATGAATATTATAAACATTATAAATTATAACATTATAAACATAATAAAATTAGATATTAAGAGTGCGTCCGCGAGAAGACCAGGCAAAATTCGGGAAAAGTGATAAGGCGGATGATTAGAATTTTTCAACGGTATTGGTGCTATGGTACTGAAGCGTAGTAGGGCCACGGTGAAATATTTTTTGGCTAAGTATATCCTAATTAACCATGGCCCCTCTGCGCTTCCGTACAATGGTCTCCCCGCCATGCCGTCGAGGGTTACATGACAAAATGGCATGTGTATCTTAATTCATGTTTGATGCGTTTATGAAATTGGTCTGTCAATTTGATGCTCGTAAAAGAAGAAATTGATATTTGCCTGGGCTACGAGTATTGAGGATTTTTTAGCTTAGTTTAAATTTGTCAAAATCAAGTATATCATGACTGTACATTGATGACAATTTTCACATGCATGTATGATCTGGCAAAATCAGACATGAGTGAAAACATATAGACACCCCCTGAATCATTGGTTTGGGGTCCAATCGCAATTGTCTGACAGGAAAATGGCAGAATATCCCCTATCGTTTAATCATAATCAACAAACTGACCTGGTTAACCGCCAACCAATGTTTCTGGTAATTTGCATGAGAGAGTTGAATTAAGTCTGATTGTTCCAGATCATAAAACTATACATAACACTGCACAAAACAATCCATCTATACCAGCTGGTATATGCTTTGGAAAGATAACATATCCAAAAATATACAATTTTGTATATATACTCTTCAAAAAAAGAAACTTGACACTGGCTTTCAAAATGTAATATAATTCGATTGTTTCAAAATAGGACACAGAAACACTGTTTGAAGATCAATGTACACAATGTTCAAAACATTAATCGTGTCACCTAGACAGACACACGTACACGATACAGTTAATGTCACAGGGGTACAGAAAATGTCAGTATCGGTTGTGCCCACCACGTGCATCAATCACCGCTTGAGTATATTCAAAAGTGATGTCGAACTATCTCACTTGCGGTGCATCTTTTGCATCTTTGTTTCGATGCGTCGTTATCTTTCTCAGTTAGCCTCGTATAGAAAGAACTGTGAACTCGATATTCTGGCGCTTTTAGTCTCCCTCCAAGATGCTTCTCGTCACGCCGAAGACCCGGATTCGATTCCCGACATGGGTACATTGTGTGAAGCCCATTTCTGGTGCCCACCGCCGTGATATTGCTGAAATATTGCTAAAAGCGGCGTAAAACCAAGCTCACTCACTCATACACTCCAAGATGCTTCTGAATCCATGATTCTCATTACGACACAGTGCAATGAATGTGTTTCATCTAATCGCTGGTTCACGTAATCACTGGACCGAATTTCGTACCAAATTTCTCAAACTATGCATTAAACCACACCTGATAATTGTAAACACAGCGTGAAACGGATTAAATGGTTGGTTTGTTGTTTAACGCCGCACTCAGCAATATTCTAGCTATATGACGGATGTCTGTAAATAATGGAGTCTGGACCAGACAATCCAGTGATTGATATCATGAGCATCGATCCACGCAATTGGTATCGATGACATGCATCAACCAAGTCAGCGAGTCTGACCACCCTATCCCGTTAGTCGCCTTTTACGACAAGCATAGTCGCCTTTTACGGCAAGCATGGGTTGCTGAAGACCTATTCTAACCCGGAATCTTCACGGGTCTGAAACGGATTAAAACAATACCGAGTACCGAATCGGATGTGAATCGTTTGTCAATATTCATGATTTAACATAAAGCATTTTCTGTGACACAAGTCGTTTTTCATTGATTTTTTCTAAGTCCTTCTGAATGTATTCCAATTATTTTATTTTTACCTATCTGGAGTATGGAGGATGGACATCTCAATGAACATGCACTGCGTTCTCTGGCACGAGGTCTTAATATCGGTAGTCGTCACAGCAAGTTTTGGCAATTTTTATATCTGAGAGGTCTGTTTGCGGTGTAGATGTACCTCTATATACGTGAAACTTGTCATGCTCTTAAAGCATCAAGGAATCTACTGTTCTGTGAAGTTTGGTTGATATCCTATTTCAAATGCGGTAATGAGCCCATACCAAAATCCCGTGTTCACAAAAGACTGAATTCGGGCAATTTTGCCATGAATAATCTTCTTTTTCCATTTTCTTCGCCAAGGATGGAAGGACATTCGAGATATTGCACATGGGGGCACTTGGCAACACCGGCTACCGTTATGTTAATTTTGGCCGAAATCCCTGACACGGGCCTTAGCACTTCCCGCCCGGTAATCTCACGAACTCGCTCTTAAAGTAGATAAAATTAAGACTGGGAGATAGCTAGGGAAATATTTCTGTTACTGAAATAGTGGATCATTATGTATACACAATCAGCTTCTAGTAGCAAGATAATTTCTCACCTGCATGGCAGAAAAAGATCGTCAAGATAACTTGCCGTATCATCTCTGAAAAGAAAATTATTGAATTATATTTCGATGTTTCTGCATTATGTCAGATAACAGCTATTACGTTTGTAACATATTCGTGAGAGCGTAGACCCGTGAAGATCCGGGGTAGAATGGGTCTACGCTCTCACGAATGCTTGCCGTAAAAGGTGACTATGCTTCTCGTAAGAGGAGACTAACGGAATCGGGTGGTCAGGCTCACTGACTTGGTTGAAGCATGTCATCGATCCAAATTGCTTGGATCGATGCTCATGATATCAATCACTGGATTGTCTGGTCCAGATTTTATTATTTACAGACCGCTGTCATATAGCTGGAATATTGCTAAGTGCGGCGTTAAACAACAAACCAACCAACCAACTATAGAACTGTTATAAAATTTAATGAAACAGATTAACTGAACGGTTAATATTAATAAAACTTTAGAATTAAATCCAGGGAAGGCTGAAGATGATAATAAAAGAAAGTGTTTTATGATTTTCAACACTGCCCATAATACATATACCTTAAAGACAATTAAAATGCTGTCTCACCTGTAGTTCTCCGTTGAGATGCTGTGATCGAGGACCTGTAAAGTGAAACAGAATCAGATATAAAGGTATGGACACAATATGTAATACTTCCCCAAATAGAGTAACAGCTGTTAGTTAAATTAACACAAATATTCATGTGTATTGTTAATGGCACACGTGGCAGTGCCAATCACTGGACATGTCGAGAGCAAGTCCTTTTGGAGTATGGATCGGCATAATAAATAAAAGGCTTATATGTGAGGCAAAACGTGTTACGAGACGTGCGAAAGTATAACTGGTTCACTACTGTGCTCTTTGGTTCTTGCTTTATCAAAGGCCTTGACAGAGGGATCAATACATGTCGGTATGGAGTAAATATGTGTTTGAGTTTTTCCGAGGGTGAATAGTTCAGTTAATTGTTGCGGGAGGGTCATGTATACAATTTACAGTACAGTTGCTGTATTTTAAGAGTGTGGAGGGGCATGCGCTGCCGTAGTCGCAAGCAGCTGGCGCCATTTATTGGTGTAAACCAATGGTTGGATGGTTTGTTGTTTAACGCCGCACTCAGCAATATTCCAGCTATATGACGGCGGTCTGTACACAACCGAGTCTGGACCAGACAATCCTGTGATTAATATCATGAGCATCGATCCACGCAATTAGGGTCGATGACATGCATCAACCAAGTCAGCGAGCCTGACCACCCGATCCCGTTAGTCGCCTTTTACGACAATCATAGTCGCCTTTTACAGCAAGCATCGGTTCCTGAAGACCTATTCTACCCCGGAATCTTCACGGGTCAAGTACAATATTGAATGTCTTTGGTATGACGCGCCCGGGAATAGAATTACCGACCTTCCTCTCTCCGGGCAGTCACTCTATCCACACACGACCACGGTGGTTTTCGAATATAGATAAAAAAAGCAATGGGGAGTTTAACGTTTATTCCATTCTATTTCTGCAAGGTTGTTGACTACTCCACGCCGCCGTTGACCTTTGAGATGTCCATCTCTCTGATGCCGCTTTCAGACTTTTTCGCCCTGGCCACGATACCGTCTTCAGCCCGCAAATCTGTTGTACACAACCGAGTCTGGACCAGACAATCCTGTGATTAATATCATGAGCATCGATCCACGCAATTAGGGTCGATGACATGTATCAACCAAGTCAACGAGCCTGACCACCCGATCCCGTTAGTCGCCTTTTACGACAAGCATAGTCACCTTTTACGACAAGCATGGGTTGCTGAAGACCTATTCTACACCGGAATATTCTTCAGCAACCCATGCTTGCCGCAAGAGGCGACTAACGGGATCGGTGATCAGGCTCGCTGACTTGGCTGATGCATGTCATCGTATCTAAATTGCGTGGATCGATGCCCATGAGGTCAATTACTGGATTGTCTAGTCCAGACGCGATACTTTCCAGACCGCCGTCTGGAATATTGCTGAGTGCGGCGTTAAACAACAATTAAGCATAAAGTAATTGAAATAGAAAAACAGTAAAACAGTGTAAGAGTGAGTGAGTGAGTTGGGTTTAATGCTTATTCCAGTTATACCATGGCGTGTCAGCTTAACGAAGTGATGCAAGTCTCAGATATTCACCACTTTGGTGTGGTGCTGACAAAACCAGTAACATATTTGGGGCGAACTTCACAGTTATTGGTGTCTGGCGAACCCAAGGCTCGCAACTTTTGACAGCAAATTACGGTGCCATAGACGAAAAGGCCACCCATTGCAATACACATCACATTTGTAGTACAGTATTTACCGTTTGCCCACTCATGTCAATTGCGTGGGGGTGTCTGTCCCCTTTAGGTGAACATTTATCGAATCAGAGTTGGTGACCCTGTGAAGCCTTTACAGCCGTTGTGTCTTTGTCACAATATATAACCCGTGAAGATCCGGGGTAGAATAGGTCTTCAGCAACCCATGCTTGCCGTAAAAGGCGACTATGCTTGTCGTTAGAGGCGACTAACGGGATCGGGTGGTCAGGCTCGCTGACTTGGTTGATGCATGTCATCGATCCCAATTGCGTGGATCGATGCTCATGATATCAATCACTGGATTGTCTGGTCCAGACTCGATTATATACAGACCGCCGTCATATAGCTGGAATATTGCTGAGTGCGGCGTTAAACAACCAACCAACCAATTGCGTGGATCGATGCTCATGATATTAATCACTGGATTGTCTGGTCCAGACTCGATTATTTACAGACCGCCGTCATATAGCTGGAATATTGCTGAGTGCGGCGTTCAACAACAAACCAACCAACCAAAACTGTTGGTTTCCATGTTAGTGGTACATATGACACGGTTCACAAATGATCGATGGCCAGATGTGGTCCTATTTGCCATATATCAACCTAACCTGTCTAGCGCATTATTTCATGAGACAGATCAGAGGTTCGGGCAACACGCTGCACTATGCATCAGCATTCATATAGAATTGACTCTTTGATTTACTCTTCGTCCAGTCAGAAACCCGATAGGCGTATTCGGAGCCTCCATAAAGGAGCGCAAACGTGTCTGTGCCCTAGTTCTATTTAGGTCTGTAGGTCTACTTGGAGGTTTTATGTTAAAGTTCATGTGTCCATTAAACGTGGCAAATAAGAATGCTACATCCAAAATGACCACTTTGGACATTGTATAGGACATCAGAAGGGCATCACAAGTGATTGTTTTCCGTATTACAGAATACACAGAAATGGATTGATTTTGGTCACATTCAATCTGCTATCCTCTGTTAATCAAACAAGGTTTATGTTCTATAGACAGTGTAATTGGTCCGCATTACCGAGTTCCAAAGACACGATGATGGACAAAACGTACCTAGGACGGTCTACCAGACAATGAATTACCAATAAGATATTACTGGACTTGACTTGAAGTGAAATGGAATACTTTCAAAACACGGTGACTAGACTAACTTTGGAAGCATTCAGAACAATAATCTCACTTGTATGGATGAACGTGAGCGTGTTGAGATATAATTGTTTTGGTTACAAATTCAAACATTGACGTTGAAAACAATCACAGCCCCTAGTCCCTACATGAAAGCTAACATACCCGAAACGAATTTGTTTCTCTACGAGTTTAAGGTATGATGCTCCCGTGTTGTGAGGATATTGTAACATAATAAGGACTACGAGAGCTGTCAGTTGTGGACAATAATATTGACAGCGGGTCTATCTCTCTTCCGCCCAGTCCACATGAAACAGGCCGTGCGCCTGGTGATTGTCATTCGGCTACAGCCACAACTCCTTGCGACGTTGTCATGCGTTGCTCCCTGGTGTATTATGCCAGCTGCTCGTTCTCTCTATTGTACCCTCAATCTAAGCATGCTCTTGTCCAACGGTTTGGGTGTGAATGAACAGTTAATCGTTCCTTTTATACCCCGATCTCGTAGCTGGCATGCTGTAAGTGCAGCATATTGTATCCATTCGTTACACACATTGTATCCATGAGCTACACATATTGTATCCATTTGTTACACACATTGTACTCATTAGTTACACTTTCTATCATTAACTGAAAATATTGTATCTATGAGCTACACACATTGTATCCATTAGCTACACACATTCTACCCATAAGTTACACATTGTATCAGCTGCACATATTGTATCCATGAGCTACACACATTGTATCCATCAGTAACACACATTGTACCCATTACTTACACATTGTATCCATTAGCTTCACTCATTGTATCCATTAGCTACACACATTGTATCCATTTGTTACACACATTGTATCCATGAGCTACACATTATATCCATTAACTACACACATTGTACCCATCAGCTACACACAATGTACCCATTCGTAACACACACTGTATCTATTAGTTACACACATTGTATCCATTCGCTACACACAATGTACCCATTCGTAACACACACTGTACCCATCAGTTACACACATTGTATCCATCAGTAAGACACATTGTACCCATTAGTTACACATTGTATCCATTAGCTACACTCATTGTATCCATTAGCTAAACACATTATATCCATTAACTACACACATTGTACCCATCAGCTACACACAATGTACCCATTCGTAACACACACTGTATCTATTAGTTACACACATTGTATCCATGAGCTGCACATATTGTATCCATGAGCTGCACAGATTGTATCCATCAGCTACACACATTGTATCCATCAGCTGCACATATTGTATCCATCAGCTACACACATTGTATCCATCAGCTACACATATTGTATGTATGAGCTACACACATTGTATCCATGAGCTACACACATTGTATCCATCAGTAACACACATTGTACCCATTAGTTACACATTGTATCCATTAGCTACACACATTGTACCCATCAGCTACACACAATGTACCCATTCGTAACACCAGTGTATCTATTAGTTACACACATTGTATCCATGAACTACACACATTTCCTCCATGAGCTACACTCATTGTACCCATTAGTTACACACATTGTGTCATTTGCTGCACATATTGTATCATGAGCTTCACAGATTGTATCTGTTATTTACACATTGTATCCATGAGCTGCACATATTGTATCCATGAGCTGCACATATTGTATCCATCAGCTGCACACATTGTATCCATCAGCTACACACATTGTATCCATCAGCTGCACATATTGTATGCATGAGCTACACACAATGTATCCATCAGCTACACACATTGTATCCATCAGCTACACACATTGTATCCATCAGCTACACATATTGTATGTATGAGCTACACACATTGTATCCATCAGCTTCACACATTGTATCCATCAGCTACGCATATTGTACCCATCAGCTACACATTGTATCCATCAGCTACACATATTGTACCCATCAGCTACACATATTGTATCCATCAGCTACACATATTGTACCAATCAGCTACACATATTGTACCAATCAGCTACACACATTGTATCCATCAGCTACACATATTGTACCAATCAGCTACACACATTGTATCCATCAGCTACACATATTGTACCAATCAGCTACACACATTGTATCCATCAGCTACACATATTGTACCCATCAGCTACACATTGTATCCATCAGCTACACATTGTATCCATCAGCTACACATATTGTACCAATCAGCTACACATATTGTACCCATCAGCTATACACATTGTATCCATCAGCTACACATATTGTACCAATCAGCTACACACATTGTATCCATCAGCTA